GTTGTCTGTTCAGAGATGTCTGATTGTGAAATAAACAGGTATTCTGTCCTGAGATGTCTGATTGTGAAATAACCATGTCAGAGATGTCTGATTGTGAAATAACCATGTTGTCTGTTCAGAGATGTCTGATTGTGAAATAAACAGGTCTTCTGTCCAGAGATGTCTGATTGTGAAATGATCATTTTGTCTATTCAGAGATGTCTAATTGTGAAATAACCATGTTGTCTGTTCATAGATGTCTGATTGTGAAATAATCATTTTGTCTATTCAGAGATGTCTAATTGTGAAATAACCACGTTGTCTGTTCAGAGATGTCTGATTGTGAAATAACCATGTTGTCTGTTCAGAGATGTCTGATTGTGAAATAAACAGGTATTCTGTCCTGAGATGTCTGATTGTGAAATAACCACGTTGTCTGTCCAGAGATGTCTGATTGTGAAATAACCATGTTGTCTGTTCAGAGATGTCTGATTGTGAAATAACCATGTTGTCTATTCAGAGATGTCTAATTGTGAAATAACCATGTTGTCTGTTCATAGATGTCTGATTGTGAAATAACCATGTTGTCTGTTCAGAGATGTCTGATTGTGAAATAACCATGTTGTCTGTTCATAGATGTCTGATTGTGAAATAAACAGGTATTCTGTCCTGAGATGTCAGATTGTGAAATAACCATGTTGTCTGTCCAGAGATGTCTGATTGTGAAATAACCATGTTGTCTGTTCAGAGATGTCTGATTGTGAAATAACCATGCTGTCTATTCAGAGATGTCTAATTGTCAAATAACCATGTTGTCTGTTCATAGATGTCTGATTGTGAAATAACCATGTCGTCTGTTCATAGATGTCTGATTGTGAAATAACCATGTTGTCTGTTCAGAGATGTCTGATTGTGAAATAACCATGTTGTCTGTTCATAGATGTCTGATTGTGAAATAAACAGGTATTCTGTCCTGAGATGTCAGATTGTGAAATAACCATGTTGTCTGTTCAGAGATGTCAGATTGTGAAATGACCATGTTGTCTGTTCATAGATGTCAGATTGTGAAATAACCATGTTGTCTGTTCTGAGATGTCAGATTGTGAAATAACCGTGTTGTCAGTTCACAGATGTTTGATTGTGAAATAACCATGTTGTCTGTTCTGAAATGTCTGATTGTGAAATAAACAGGTCTTCTGTCCAGAGATGTCTGATTGTGAAATAACCATGTTGTCTGTTCAGAGATGTCTGATTGTGAAATAACCATGTTGTCTGTTCAGAGATGTCTAATTGTGAAATAACCATGTTGTCTGTTCATAGATGTCTGATTGTGAAATAACCATGTTGTCTATTCAGAGATGTCTGATTGTGAAATAACCATGTTGTCTGTTCAGAGATGTCTGATTGTGAAATAAACAGGTATTCTGTCCTGAGATGTCAGATTGTGAAATAACCATGTTGTCTGTTCAGAGATGTCAGATTGTGAAATAAACAGGTCTTCTGTCCAGAGATGTCTGATTGTGAAATAACCATGTTGTCTGTTCATAGATGTCTGATTGTGAAATAACCACGTTGTCTATTCAGAGATGTCTGATTGTGAAATAACCATGTTGTCTGTTCAGAGATGTCTGATTGTGAAATAACCATGTTGTCTGTTCAGAGATGTCTAATTGTGAAATAACCATGTTGTCTGTTCATAGATGTCTTATTGTGAAATAACCATGTTGTCTATTCAGAGATGTCAGATTGTGAAACAACCATGTTGTCTGTTCAGAGATGTCTGATTGTGAAATAACCATGTTGTCTGTTCAGAGATGTCTGATTGTGAAATAAACAGGTATTCTGTCCTGAGATGTCTGATTGTGAAATAACCATGTTGTCTGTCCAGAGATGTCTGATTGTGAAATAACCATGTTGTCTGTCCAGAGATGTCTGATTGTGAAATAACCATGTTGTCTATTCAGAGTTGTCTAATTGTGAAATAACCATGTTGTCTATTCTGAGATGTCTGATTGTGAAATAACCATGTTGTCTATTCAGAGATGTCTAATTGTGAAATAACCATGTTGTCTGTTCAGAGATGTCTGATTGTGAAATAAACAGGTATTCTGTCCTGAGATGTCAGATTGTGAAATAACCAGATTGTGACATATCATGACAGACAACATTGTTGTTTCACCATCTGATATCTCTGGAAAGACTGTCTTTTCACCATCTGACCTCTAAAGATAAGGTCATTTCACCATTTGACCTCACAGGAAATAGGGCAGGGTGAATTCATCATCTGACATTTAAGAAATGGGTCATTTCACCATTTGACCTCTAAGAAAAGGAGAAAAGGGTCATTTTCACACCTGACCTCTTCAATGGGGTAATTTCACTATCTGACACTTAAGGACAGAGGGCAAAGTCATTTCACCATCTGACCTCTTAGGACAGAGGTCATGATCATTTTACCATCTGACCTCTTAAGATGGGGTCATTTCATCATTTGACCTCTAAGGACAGAGGGCAAATTTATTTCTCAGTCTGACCTCTAAGGGCAGAGGGTAAGGACATTTCACCATCTGATCTTTAAGAAATAGGTCATTTCAACATATGACCTCCTTGGACAGAGGACACAGATATTTCACTATCTTACCTCTTACAACAGAGGGCAAGGTCATTTAACAATTTCACCTCTTCAGACCATGTTCATTTTGATATATCTTGACTTCAACCTCACTCCTCAATATTAACAGTTTAATTATAATTCCTTGTCATACCCTGGCATGGCTAAGTCATGTCATCTTCAATAACAAATTGTCTAGTACCTGCCTAAATTATGTTTCCTTTGAATAAGACCAGTGTGACATATTACTGTGTACCAGAGTACAGAGCGCGCTGACCATACCAGATCGTAATCAGCGGCGTCAATTATTGGACATTTGACAAGATCTAATACTTGTCTACGTCTTTGGTTACCTGCTGTCTGTTCTACTTCTTCAATATGTGTCTCACATCATGATTGATTTGTCCAATTGTCAATATCTCTTCATATCAAATGTATGTTTTGATCCGTTTGTTTTGTGGAAATGAAAAGAAAAAAAAATCTATCATGAATTTAGGATGATCGAAATTTTTTAAAGATATTATCCTTTCTAAATATAAGAAAAAATTTCCACTTTGGCAATTACAGGTTTTTATTCTGTGTCGGCATTTCTCCAGATATTAGATTGACCTGATATTGACTATACAAGACACCATATCTTGACATACTAAAATAACAAAAAAAGCTAGAATCACTTACCAGGTAATAATATTATGAATACCTTATTCTGTATAGTAGCTTTTAAAGTTTCAGTGACTTATGGACGAATTATTAAAAGAAAATGCAACAAATAAGATTTCATGTAAAAGAATTATGCAAATAGTTATTTATGTAACCCTGGTAAATACTGCCTGCTTGGGAGAAAATCTCTTTAGCCCTCTTGAGCAGGAGTCTAATTTGACTCAGGTCCTATGAGGGAATCCTAGTTCAGGCATTGAAATAAATAATGAACTGAAGCTTCTATCTAAGGACCTGGAAATAATATTTTCACAAGCATTATTAACACAGTCATTTACATGTATGTAATCCTGGTGATATATTCTGTTTAGCTCATTCTGTTGGGTAGAAGATTAGTAAGGGAGAAGTCCCAGTTTGGAATCCTGGTGAAAGCATTGAAATAAACAATGACCTCTGTTACATTCACAAATGTACCAAACATTAGCAGTAATACACTGCTCGGCAAGTGAGATATTTGCTCTTGCTAGTTGATCAGACTAGTAACAGGTAAACCAGAGGTCCCAGGTTCGAATCCTAGCAGAAAAAACCCTTAAATTGGTGATTTTGGTTTAAACCAGAGGAAAATATACACACAAATATTTCTTGTAGAAACTAACTGGTAGATACCTGACTGAAAAACATAGGGGAGACCAGCAATGTTTCATCCACAGTGAATGGGAGTGTGTGTCTTGCCCCTGAACACAGCCATGCCTGCACATGATGGTCTGTTCCTCAGCTTCTATAGAAACTCTAGCCACTCTGCATAGTAAGCATTGAATCAGGCACCACAGATCATAACCTAAGGTTACATAGGCCATCACAAAGTTTATCATACTATAGTAGTTTAACTCATATCTGTCCACTGGACATAACTGGAAAACTGGAGATATCCAGTTTGAAAGTCATTCACAAAATGGAAGATAATTTGTTACGTTACTACTGTGTATGGGACAACTTATGCTGTAGTATAACATGCAAATAAGGCAATATCAAAATGGGGTCTTACATTTTCTGTCACAGCTGGAATATCTCATTTAGGAACATCTACATCAAATCACTAGGGAAAATGGTCAGTTTCATTTCAATGCAAAAAGAAATGGTGTGTATCGGTTTCCTTGTATACAGATTCATCTAAATTCAATCTCATTTTCTTTAACATAATTTTACACACAAACACACACTCAGTTTAAGAAAAAAATAAATTATGGCTGCTAGACACAGTGAAATTGGCGGGACATGTTGCTGAGAAGGAAATCAGCACATGTAGCACAGAAAAGATGTTCGTTGCAATACCAGTAGTTCCATATTTGATATGTGTAACAGACATCATTTGTACATGTAGGACAATCAACACATTAAGTTAATTGATGAGGGTGCTAATAGCTTAAATCTGTTAGAGTATCAGCCTACATAACCTCAGGTGAAAATCTGAGGGGCGTGGTTCAACATACATGCTACTTGCCAAAAACCTACCATGCATCTTGGTTTTTCCTTCAGAAGTCTTTCTTTTGAAATTAATTAACTTCAACTCAACCTTGTCTGTCAATGTTATTAATTTGATGAAGTATGATACACTTTTATCCCAGCATAATAAGAGATAAATATAATGACCTTGCGCCTGAAAATTATTCTACATTCATTTGAAGATATAGTGTGAACAAATGTAGGTCTTGCACATTTCTTTTCAAAAGACAAATTGAAAACTAAAACAAAATTTAATTTAACACATCTTCATGTTAATTTATTTCCATTTTTTAAGATTTTTTTTCTCATTTTTATTCATGATTTATAAATTTCTATATTTCATGACAAATTTTGTAAATATTCATCCTGATCATGATGCTCATGTTGATGAGTTAATGTGATAATGAGATCATATTCTATAATAAGATCAAGGTTTAGTAATTGACCCAAGTTCTGTAACAAGATCTGATGGGTTACCTCCCCTTATAGGAAAGCTGCACAAAAAATGTCCAGTTTTCATGGTAGTAACTTATGCACCAGAGCAATAAAGATTTCCTGAAGACTCATTGGACTAGGAAGCATACTTTTCATTTTAAGAATATGCTTTTTGTAAAAAAAAACCTCAAAAAACCTATATTTATCTGTCAATAAGGTGAAGCCTGGTATTATAATCCTGATATTATAAGCCTATTCCAGTCCTTTCTTCAGCCCATCCACTGACTTCAATTTTCAGTTCATGTGTTGGACCCGGGGCTTATTGCACTACAATAACCATCAATAAGTAAGTGTCAAAGTTTAGGATAATCTTTTAAATTTGTGCTGAGTAGGCACTAGCTCAGATGTTTATGTGCAGATCAAACAGTTCTTGGCAAGTGAAGTGGGGATAATGATTTTTGTATAGAACAATACTATACCATGTGTTTCAGGTACTGCTTCAGGTGAGAAAAAAAAACATTGCTAGAGGATTAGAATATTTCTGTTTCTTGTGATGAGAGCAGAGAAATTCAAATTTTATCTTTTGAGGTTAGATATTACTATATATATCTGACAAAAAGAATGCGTCTGTTTATGATAAGCCCACCCATTTATATTGTTATCATGCAGAATTACAGTGTTATTTCAGTGTTCTTTTATAAGACCCACACATGACTTTCCAACCCTAGCTAGACCAATATCTGACCTCTGAGACCAACCCATGATTTTCAAGTCTGAAGCTGTGTAGGCATTGTTGTCATATCTCTGAAGCTGTGAACACAATGTTACCATATCTCCGAATCTATGAACACAATGTTGTCATATCCGCAGCTGTGTACAAAATGTCATATCTCTGCAGCTGTGTAAACAATGATGTCATTTCTCTGCAGCTGTGTAAACAACAATGTCATTTCTCTGCAGCTGTGTAAACAATAATGTCATAATCTCTAAATCTATGAACACAATGTTGTCATATCGATGAAGCTGTAAACACAACATTGCCATATCTCTGCAGCTGTGCAAACAATGATGTCATATCTCTGAATCTATGAACACAATGTTGCCATATCTCTGAAGCTGTGCACACCATGTTGTCACATCTCTAAAATTGTATTCTTGTCTTTCTGGCAGGATATATAATCTGACAATGTCTCTGAAGCATATGACAACTGTTCATGTCCCTGGAGTTCCACCAGAAAACAGTAAGATGTTAAGCACTTTTATTAAAATGTCACCGTTTGACCTTTTTGGCAGTGTTGAACCGTGTGGGAGGGGGAGGTGAAGGGGGTCTTTGTCTTCTTGTCTCCCTCTGGATTGGTGGTGGTGAGAAGCGGTCTGGTGCAGTGTGCTTGTTCCGTAATCGTTGTGACATCATAGGGGGTGAAGGAGGTCTCTGGCTCCTTAGTGCCCTGGTAGATGGCACCACCTCCTCCATATAAGGTGGTGAGACAACACGTTGCCCTCTGGTCAAAGGTCTGGAAGGTGGGGATGGAGGATGCTGACGTTTGAGTAAAGGAGGGGAATCAGATGGGGAGACCTGCCCTCTTGTTAGAGGTCTAGACGGAGGGGATGGGGGTCTTTGACCCCTAAGGCCACTGTGAGGAGGGGAGGGAGACCTGGGCCCTCTTACACCCTGTCTTAAAGGCGGAGAGGGTGGAGAAGGAGGTCTTGTGCCTCTTATACCAGGTGGTGGAGATGAAGGTGAGGGAGGTCCCCTTGTACCTAGAGGTGGAGGAGGAGGAGATGGCGACCTTGGCCCTCTTACTGGAGAGGGGGAGGGGGGCCTACGACCTCTACTTATGGGATGGTGAGGTGGAGATATTGATGCTTTTGACCTTTGTGTGGGAGATGGAGGATCATCAAATGAACCAGATGAACTGGATATTGTTTCTATACAGTCGTCTGGGGAAAACTGTCTTCGGGGCAAAGGTCGTGCTAAGGGCGATGGTGACCTTTTGCTCCTAGTATGTGGTCTCTTTGGAGGAGGTGAGGGAGATCTGTAATGAGGTGACTCCATACTTGGTCGCCTATATGCTGGTGACCCTGATCTATAACCAGGTGACTCGGACCTATATACAGGAGACTCTGATCTTTGCCTTGAATAACCTGGAAGTGTTGGTGTGTCTCGTCCCCGATAGGGATAGGCATAAGGAGGGGACTCTGGACGTACTACCCGGCGGTGTGGGGGGGAACTACTCTGCCAATTAATGGGTGGGGTATCCTCTTTAGCAAAAGGGGAGTGGGGAGAGGTTGATCTTTCCATTGACATTTGCCGCTCAAATCCATAAAAGTGTTTCTGTGGACTCTGTGGTGGAGATGTCCCCAGCGGCCCAGATTGTGTATCCATTGAATAACTCCATGCTCCAGAACTGTGCCATTGTCCCCTTCCCTGTAGACCACCCCCTCCTCGCACAGCTTGGCCGGATCTTCCTGGATTACTGCCACGAGCACGACCAGGTCTGCAAAAAGAACAGGGAATTACACAACACATCAGTGTGACAGACATTGCCATATAAACATATGATTTCACTTATCACATGAAACTTCATATCTTGTTTATCTGAAGAAATTTTGCAAAAAAAAAAATTAAGAGAACATATGACATTTTAACAGCACTGTAGAAGACTTGGTGAACTGTACTAAATGACTTTTGTATGAATTTTCAAGGAAGACTTGTCAGACTTCCTACCTCTTTCCCTGCTGTTGAACCCAGCGCTCTGCTTCACCAAAGTCAACGTTGATCAGACTACTTTTAGCCAACCTAGCAGCTTCACCAAAGTCTACCATGTCAATTGGCATTTTGAGATTCTTGCGTTTTCTGCGACCAAACTCGTCCACAGATGATGACGAGGAACCTGAAATTGATTTCTTGCCTGAGGAACGACTACTTCCAGAATGATGACTCCCTGATGAAGAGGATGAACGTGACCTTGACCTCGATCTTGACCTTGATTTTGACTTAGACTTTGAGCATGACCTTGATGAAGAGAATGAGGCTGATGAAGAGGAAATTGGGCTAGTCTGACCAATTAGAGATGTTGGGGATGTTGACCTTGAACTTATCGGACTTGTGTCCAATGCCGATTTAATTTTCGGTTTTTCAGATCTTGACTGACTCTCGCCTTCCTGTGTTGATCCCGGTGAAGATGGGTGACGTCTGGAGCTACGGAAACTACGATGAGGCTTGTAAAGGTCAGATGTGTGGTATCGTTTAGAACTAACTTTCTCGGTGTCTGCAGACCTACAAAAAAAAAACAAAATGATAATGACAACGATGGATATACATATAAGATGAACTGAGAATTGAGGAGTAATGTGTGAGGGTCTGGAGGGGATTCATGTTTTTAAAGGATCATGCATGAAATTGTACAAGATACACAAGTGAATAGAAACTTTTAACAATTTAGAATAAGATAGAGTAGAGCAATGAATTAAACTGCATCATACAGCTGTTTCGTCCTTCTAAGACTCGTCAGTGATGCTACATCATACAGCTGTTTCATCCTTCTAGGACTTGTCAGTGATAATACATCATACAGCTGTTTCGTCCTTCTAGGACTTGTCAGTGATGCTACATCATACAGCTGTTTCATCCTTCTAAGACTTGTCAGTGATGCTACATCATACAGCTGTTTTGTCCTTCTAGGACTTGTCAGTGATGCTACATCATACAGCTGTTTTGTCCTTCTAGGACTTGTCAGTGATGCTACATCATACAGCTGTTTCATCCTTCTAGGACTTGTCAGTGATGCTACATCATACAGCTGTTTCGTCCTTCTAGGACTTGTCAGTGATTCTACATCATACAGCTGTTTCATCCTTCTAAGACTTGTCAGTGATGCTACATCATACAGCTGTTTTGTCCTTCTAGGACTTGTCAGTGATGCTACATCATACAGCTGTTTTGTCCTTCTAGCATTTGTCAGTGCTGCTACATCATACAGCTGTTTTTGTCCTAGCACTTGTCAGTGATGCTACATCATACAGCTGTTTTGTCCTTCTAGCATTTGTCAGTGCTGCTACATCATACAGCTGTTTTTGTCCTTCTAGCATTTGTCAGTGCTGCTACATCATACAGCTGTTTTGTCCTTCGAGCATTTGTCAGTGCTGCTACATCATACAGCTGTTTTCGTCCTTCTAGCACTTGTCAGTGCTGCTAAAGACATAGATAATATACAGATAAAAAGCAGTTTTTAGCAAAGGTTAATGCTAAAAAGATAAATGGGATCACTACCTGGTACCCTGTTGTCAGTGTACTGACCAATTGTATATTGTTTTGTTATTAGACACATTAATACAACCTAGTGGAGTTGTGAAGGGCTAAGAGTTCCCAATTTATCTATTGTGATGTCATAGCTTCATGCATCGTTTTGACATCACAAGAGGAACAGAGATAAAGTGAGAAGATTTTGCATAAAGTCTAATAAAATGTTACTTTTATGAATATTACCAACAGTTTAAAAGTTACTATGATTAACAGAATCTTACATTTGTTTCGATTTCATGCAAGATCAGATTTATGAATCTCTTCATGAACATCTTTTATCTTACCTTGCCACAGACTTGGTAAAATAAGTGGCCTATGGGACAGTATTGATCATCTCAAGTGTGAGATCATTTCCTACACTGTAACCATGGAAACTGTAATCATGTCTAAAAATTGCTAGCTTATGAGTGATGTGATGTTGGTTTTATTTTAACAACAAATTCTTATATGTGCTGCGGGGTTGTTAGGAGGGGAGTAGGGGAAGAAGCACAATGTGCATCCCTCAATCAGTAAGTTTCAGTGAAATACGTCCAGGGACTACTTGGAACTACCTTCTGAAGGAGAAAATCTTGAATTGGAGATGATCTGACCATGTTGTCTTTACTTTAGGAACCTTAAATATGTTGAATGTTTCAAAAGTTCTGGACTTGAGAATTTTTTTCTGCATTTTCACCTTTGAACTTGTGAGGTAATCTGATTGTATGTATGGTTTATGCTTCGTTTATTTATACCTTTTATTGCTTCAAAAGTTATAAATAATTGCACTTATTTGACCTTTGATCTTGAGGTGAAGGTCACAGTTATGTTATTACATGGATGCTGTACAGCATCTGGGGGTGATGCAGCGGAACTTCATGATTCATTGATATATCAGTTGAAATTTAAGGCCAGCACAGACTTTTGTCAAAATTTAGCACTTATCTGACCTTTGAACTTTGGGTGATTGTCAAAGTGATTTCATTACATGGCACCACATGATGAATATAGGATTCAAATTTCATCAATATTCTGAAGTTTTAGTGGCCTAATTAATGACACTGTGTAGCACCTGAAGTGATACCTATATAACTTATTAATATTTCACTAATGGTTCAAAAGTGATAGCCTGGACAAGACTGTACTACAGAAAAAAAACCAGGAACAGCCTGTTTTAATGTTTATCCAATTCAGTCAAGTCTGTAATTTGACAAGGAATAAATTCAAAAGAATTATGTGTGTGTATGATTCTGAGATATCGCAACAGCACATGACATATTTTGACCAGCTATAGGTATAGAGCTAATGACCAGTGGAAACATTTGCTAATTTATCTATCATCCTTTCTTTGTTATTTACAGGATTTACAAATTCCTCACAAGTATCCAGAACACCTAGTAATAGTGTAAATTCCCTCATAGGAAGATGTAAATGTCTTACTCCGAGGGGGTATTAACATTCACAAGGGTGTGTTGGGGTATCCACCTGTCTCAAACTCAGCTGGTGGCTTTCCCTGTTTAACAGTTTTCTTGTAAACTGTATAAAATAATAAAGATTCATCTCTTGATACAGTTGGGCTCAATTCACCTATTTTTCTCCACTTTTACTTCGTATGATTTTTAAAACATTTAAAATGTTTTTTTCTAAAGAAAATTTGAAAATTATTTGATATTTCATTCCAAAGATATACAATATTGTTATAATCCTGGACTTGGTTTTAGAGTCCAGGCAGAGACCTGGTATGGCATTCACCTGTGATCAGCGACAAGATGGTGGCTGTTGTTGAAGAAATTGTGAAAGAAATTGCATACCTTGATGATAATATGAAATTTTTACACTGTACAAGACATGACAACATCAAAGGACATTATGTATGGATACAGTCATGGTTTTGTGATTTCAGCAGTACAGTCATGGTTTTGCGATTTCAGCATAGTTATTGAGGTACCCAAGAGATGAGAGCATGTTTTAAGCTGACAGGTAAATGTCTACCTGGCCATTTCTACATAAATTTCCATATTCGTCAGATCATAACTCCGTCAATACTCTACAAATCTCATTCATCAAACATTTATTGAAAAGATAAGACATTTCTCTTAAATATCAGAAAACGTAATTTAAAAAAAAAATATGTTCTGTTTTCCCTTGTCTGTAGTTACAACCTTACACAGCAACATATATATAAAGTCTGTGGGTTGGGAATTTGTGCCAAGTTCCTGTTGCTCCAACAGTCATGAAAAATTGCAGTCAAGGTGTGAAAAGTCAATTAAAGTCTATTTGGTAATCACTTTGTTCTGAACACACCTTGTTCTCTTTAATTCATTGAGCACACCTTGTGAAAATAACATTGTTTTCTGTCAGGAGACACAAAGACCCATTCAAGTATTGTAACAAGATGGCAAAATTTTCTCTCCAGAATGATTTTTTTGTCTATTTTTTTCCTTCAAAACAATACGCGAGTACGCACAATGGGCAAATATTTATTGTATGGGATTATTTAATATCTCTAAATAATGAATAAGGACTTGCATATATATAGCTCTCATACATGTTATTAGGATGGTCGGGTGGCGGAGTGCAAACGCACTCACCTTTCACTTAGCCGTCTGGGGTTCGATTCCTGGAACAGACGTGAAAAGGTAAGGGGTCACCAAGTGGATTTTCTCCCAGTACTCCAGTTTTCCCCACAATAAGACCCCACGCAGGCTTACATCCAGGCCAACAAGAGTGATTAATATAAGTTGAAATAACTTGTTTCACAATTGTTATAAACTAAATTATGTTTATATCATACTTTTATTCATATATACATGTATATGTTTTTCATTGAAACTGTTACTATAAATGTTCACCACGCACAGTGTTTTAAAATGGAAATATTTTTACCCTGGTTAATTGACGATTAAAACAAACCAATCATCAACACAGGTACTTGTACATTTCGCAGGCTGTTTAATGAAGATATCCCATGCATGCATCTCGGAGTTCAGTTACTTAAAGGTATTTTACTCTGTGAGGTTAATAAAGTAAATCATGTGGAGGAAGGAAAATAGGACAGGAGGATGACTAGACAGGGCAGAAGGATTACGAAGCTGGTTGGTGAGACCAGCCAAAAGAATGATGAGACAACACAAGACCATAACAAGACTATACCAGAGGATGACGAGACTAGGCAAGACAACAAAACTAGGCAAGATGGTGAACAGACAGGGCAGGAAGTAATAAGGATAACAAGGATGATGAGACTTTACAAGGAAGGTAAGGAAGAGGATAATGAAGAGAATGAAGAGAACACAGAAGAAGACGACAAGAGAAAACAGGAGGATAATGAGGACGAGGAGGACATGATAGATTATGATGATAATAAGAAGGATGAAGAGATTTGGCAAAAGAATTACAAGGACAAAGAAGAGAATGAGCAAGAAAATGATGGGGAGGTTAATGAGACTGGATAACCTGAATTATGGACAATAACACAACACACACAGAGACTTGATCCTTGTAGTCGCTCACTGTTATATGTTAACAAAAAATTTCGTAATACAAGAAAAACAGTTACCGTCATTATATAAATCACATAGTGTACTGCTAAATGTGCCAGAGATCATCAGTGTAAGAAGAACTATTTGGGTATCAAGTTCAAGCGATACTGAATATCACTGCTAATGCAAAGTGGGCCAACGTGCAGTTACACAATGAGAGAGTGATAATAGATGGTTACAGGATACAGGATATTTATCATAATACCTCCTGGAGTGTCCCCTATTGTTTTTCACCAGGTCAAAATTTCAAAGATCACAAGAGGCAATTGGTAAAAGGTTTTTGGGTCCACTAATCTGTTTAGTCTTTCAACTCCGCTATCCAGTTTGTTTTGCTACTTAATGCTTTGATGGAGACTTCTGGTGTTCTCAATTTGTTCTCCACAGACTTCTGAAGAAATATGAGTCGCTTTCCTTGTTTTGCTTTTGCAATTTTTTTAGGTTATCTGGTTCAATGGA